CTCCATTTTTTTTCCATTTTTTTGTTTTGAGGGGAGGGTGATTCTGTAAACAGACTACCCTCCTCCCACCCCCAGCAAAACTATTGCCTGGCAACCATGCAAGAGCAACAGTTCATTGACGTCACGCAAAAGCTTTCAAAATGGCAGACGAGCTGGGGTGACCACAGGCAGCCCAAGCGCACTTTGTGTGGGTTCGGGCTTCAGAGGTCCTTTGGTCGGAATATACTAGAATTATTAGTGTATTATCTGATGCTAAATAAACGCAAAAATCTTAAAGATATGAAGTCTTCTTGTTTGTCTATCTGTACTATTAGCCTTTAAGATAACGAAGGTCGATATTTCTTGCATTATTACATGTGATTCGGGCCCCTAATGTTCGAATTTTATCCGCATGTATTCGAATCTACAACGCTAAGGAAAAAAATCATGATCACGCGAAATATTGATTCAAAAAGCTCCCTTACCTTTAGTTCATAGCCACTCTGTGTCCTACGGCTGGTTTAAACGCCGTTTAGTCGACTTTCTTTCCATCGAGTACTGAACACAGAGTGGCTCACTTGTTAAAGAGGTGGAAGACGATGGCCTATAATTTGATGGAAAATTAAGAAGAAGGGATCTAGAAATCTTTATTCTCTGTTTACTGTAACGTAAAATGAAAACGAGGGTGAGGGTAACACAAAGGGTGAGGGTGGGGGTGAGGGTAAGGGTGAGTTTAAGGGTAAGGGTAAGAGTGAGTTTAAGGACAGGGTGAAAGCGTATGGAAACATAACTGTAGCGATGATCATGCAGCTATCATTCATCCGTTACTCTTACTGGTTTTGTTAAGCTCAAAAAAGAAATTTTCTCACAGAAATTGCGTTCTTTTGCGGACAAAGGCTGTAGAGTCGAGGAAGAGCGGAAATCAATGACCGCAAATTTGTCCACTGATCTCCCTCCCCTGATCTGACCTCAGAGTTCTCATATTACTCTACTCATGGAAACCAATTAGAGAGTAAACGTATCGTATGGTAATCACGTGAAATTTTACGTGGACGTGAATTTACTTCTAACATTCGCCCTCTTTGGCTGGCCTGATTTCAGAGTTTGGCTAGCTTTCGAGTTGCTGTTGCTGTTTTAAAAGTATTTCCAACAACGTGACCGCAAATTAATTTTTTGCTCTTGAAAGGCTTCAATAAAGACATGGATTAATAGTCTTCGATCGTTCTGTGTACACTAAGGGACTTGGCATGATATGGGGATGTGGAACCCTGGGTTGGGGAGATGATCCGCCAAAGGGTTATTTTCATGAATCTTAGAACGTCCACAATCCCTCGTTCCGAGTTAATATTTCTTGTGTGGTCGTTTCTCTCTTTCTTGAATACCAAGTTTTGTATTACACCAAACCTGCATTTGTTTGACTGATGTACTAACTTGTTTATTAAATTTGATTTTGTCCGCAGTATCAATTCATACCCCAAAGATATCCAGGCAATCTTTCATATATGTTACATTTGGAGACGAGCACTAACACTTTCCCTTAAAAAAATATATGTATGGTCTTCAAACCGCGCCTAGTCCAAGACTTACGAATTGTAAACTTCAATGAAATATTGGTAATCAACATCATGATTGTTCGAGTATGAAGGAGACAAATTTTTTTTGGAGTAATTTTGGATGAAAATTGTGGAATTCACACAACTCGAACTTCTCGCAATTGAAATTTTGCCATTCGATTAGTTATATTTTCCTTGTTTTTTTCTTATAATAGCAATTCCTCACCCCCACCCTCACCCTCACCCTTACCCTCACTCTTATTATGTGCAAAAGGCACCACAGTAGTATCCGGCAAACAGATAGCGTCCGTCATAGAGCATGGTTGTAGACAGCTCAACGAATAATTTGTTAGGATAAGGAACAATAAAGTTGTCACGGACCCAAAAGGACGTCAAGTTAAACATTACTACCAAAGACGAAAACTGTGACTCTTAGCATTGGATCTAGTCAAAAAGAATTTCTGATGGCTCAAAGAAATCAGCATCTTCCATTTAAGTACATGGCACTTGAACTTACGAGATAACGCTTTTGTAACTGATGTTTTAGTTCCCACTATTGAGACTGTTAAGCTTGTGTTTAAACCGGTCTTTCTGAAACAGTTTCATTTCTTACAACCTTTGGATGTCTTCAATATGACGCTTTTGAAACAGGAGAAAAAGGGGCGTCTGCGAAAAAGGTAACATTGAGGGACGTGAACGAGGATGTCGACAAAGGCTGTATCAGGTACACAAAACTTCCGACAACGCAGGTGGAAAACCTACGCGCGGCTTCTCACTTCACTCAACACAAAACATTTAGCGCTTTAAACTACGCCCAAGACTTTGGAAATAGAGTGAAGGAATCGCTTAAAAGAACTACGAATTCGAAGTGGGCTACACTCACGAATTGTCCCATGTCAAATACTTTCATGCCTTTGTTAGCACTCTCAACTATGTCTCTTCCATTGGTGCAAACAATGACAAAAGAAGATGAAATTGGGATGGGGGTGGACTGGATAGAGAACTTTCCACCTGTTTGCCAACAAACTATAAGAAGCGAATCAACTCAAGATAAAGCGGGATCTTTAGCACCAGCGTCATGGGACTAGCTATGTCATGCCATTTGCTATCTTTTTAAAAAGCTAAAACTTTTTTTTTTGCATCAATTGAATTCCAAAAAGACCAAAAATAATGGCCCAGTTTGGTTAATTAAAACTTTATTTTGACATTGATATTGTTTCGCGTCGTCTGTTGCAATGGATTGCAAGGATTGAAAATGGATTGAAACTTAGGCCAACAACAAGATACAGGACACGCATACAGTAATTCAGTCAACCCCATAAGTACGTGACTCATTCGATAATGAAAGTGACGAAGAAGGTAGCTTTGAAGTAGTTTATGGCAGGACATGCATGACCAGTTTGGGAAGATCAGTACGAGATAATCACTGGTGCGTCTGGATCTATGAGGCTGGTGTCATTTGATGGTTATACGACTTGGATCTAATATGTTCTTACAGCAAAAATCGGTAAATAGGGGTCTTAATAGTTATCGCTTACCCATTTTTGCTACTTTGATTAGATAATTATGTTCTTTTCCATATTTTCAGTTACTTATAAATTGTACTAGTGGGGGAGTTTATGTGAATTCATGTAAATTTAAACCTTGATTTTAGTAGGACCTACCCCCAAAAGTGATTGACGACGTACTGAAGTAAACAAAATTCGGGTTATGACAGAATAATATTTGCTATAGGAAAGTGAAAGTTAATAGCTAACCAAAATTAGTAGTTAACTGATATTTGGCCGAAAAATTAGTAGTTAACTCCCATTAGCACCCTCAGTAAACCTCGGCATGATTTATAGCTAGAATATGCGGAGGGGGAAACTAGCCAGCCGGCTTTCTCATACAAACTGACAACCAAGAATTCGACAGTATCAAAATTACAGAAAATGTATGGAGAAATCAAGGTTTTCTAGAAACTGTCAGATCACGGGACTTCTTTGCACCTCAGATTTAGTGTATTGTTTCTTTGAACTCGTAAGTTACTCTTTTCAACGAAAAAGTGGCAAATATATGAATTCAGGAAGAATTAGCTGGCTTTGAATTCCAGTACAAATCTTTGAATTTCCCTTCATCTTGATTACCATGATGCAACTATGAGCGTGAACTCCTCTGTCCCGGTCATAATTGTTGAAACGCTTGCGAGGTTTTCCTTCGCTTTCCTTTCAATGCTGATTTGGAAGACGTTTATGCTCAAGTAAACTCGTGAAACCAAAATTGAAGGAAGGGAGGAAAGCAATACTTGTATTTATGAGAACAGTAAGTTTATGTTGTGTTTTCCGGAGGTGGCAACAAATTATGACCGTGATTGTAGCTTGAGCTCGACCCGATTATGATGATGATTAACAATAGAACAATAGAAACGTCATCATTACCCAAAGATTCCATGCGGCCCCTGTTCAAGCAAATCTAGATTTTTTCTGGCATGCTGACTGTATATTTCAGCTGTAAGTATTTTCCTTAAAATACACGCAAGCTACTAGAGTGCCTCCTCGGGATTTCGACTTCCGGGCGAAATCCCTGCGGGGGCAATAATAGTTCGCACCTTTCGTAGCAAAAAAATATTAAAATGAAATGGTTCGGCATTTCTGATTGGTGTTTATATAATAAATAGAACATTACATGGCCGCTTGAAGACACGAAATTTATCTTCTCGGGTTCAAAATATTTTTCAACACTCGAAGAGAAATTTCGTATCTTCTCGCTGCCATGAAATATCCTCTATTTACCCTACGAATTGCTCAGTAAACGTCTGTAAAACAGACCACGGTTTTTTCAACTTTTAACTGGGATCAGTTAGCAAATATCCCTCAACACTGCGGCAAAGAACGCCTTAAAATCAGTCGATTTGTCAAGTTTTGAAGCAGTTTGTTAAAAACCCAAGAAGTCTGATATAGCTCCACAAATCTGCGAAGTCTACAGACATTCAAAGGTGGGTGGTAAGCTCGTGCCGCCAACATACTTGTATACGCCTTTACGATTTCATGACTTTGTAGACCAATATCTCCGCTCGCTTTGGACCTTAAAGTAGCTATAGCATCCCTGTCTAAATATGCGACAGTCCCGGCTTTTATCAGGTTGTAATCTTGTTTTCTTTCTTTCCTTTTTTCTTTTTGGTTCTCTTTTTTCTTTCTCTCCCCCCTCCTCCCCTCCCCCTCTCTCAGTCCATCCCCCCCCCGCCCTCCTCTTAGTTAACTCTTTTTTGTGGGCATGAGGTGGTAGTTCAGGATCTTTGGATTATTGTTTCACAAGTAAATTAACACCTTTTCATTACCTCAACTCTTTTATTATCATATAATTTTAAAGTTGGAATACATATATCCATACTGACGAGCATTTGTTCTCTTGCAGATGCTTAACTTATAGTGTTTCACTTTACATTTAACGTTTGAATCTCTGGTTGAGGACTTTGAAATCGAAGATTTTTCACAGCTTCTTGAAGATCCGGAAGCCAGTGTAAGTATTCTCCCTTGCACAGGACGTCTTGCTGTAACTGCTACAGCTACGAGGACGATAGTAGCTGCTATACCTCATGAGCCAGGTACTCGAGGTGTAGTAGGGATACTTGAGGCCCACGACGTCACCATATTGCAGGGGGGTTCCATCCACAGCGTTTTTGGCGTAAATCTCGAAGGTGGCGTACGAGTAGTAAAGCCACTGGTTCCCAGTCATTGTGCTGGTGATTCTATTTAGAATAAAAACAAATGAAGCCAATTGTCAAATAAACAAATTTAGCTGTCAAACATATATTTATGCTTATAACAATGCCTATAAAGCACAAGTATAAAGCACAAGGTGCCGGTTTACTCACGATTGCATTCTGCAGTACCAGGTATACGATGATGTGCACCTCAGCCGGTACCTGGAACCATAGCCATAAGAACTCAATGACACAGTGTCTCCACTGTTGATGGGTTCTCCATTTATTTTGCCAAAGGCGGTGATATAGAACTTGGACAAGGAAGAACATGAAGACCACAATGATTTCGTCATACTCCGACTACCAGAGCAAGACTTCCAGTAGCAGTAACTAGTCGTGCAATACATCAAGTACTGGTAGTAACTGCTGTGCGCTGATCTCAGCACAATAAGGTCTCCACTCTTTATGACAGGATATCTGTGGACTTGGAACAAAAAAAAAATTCCTATTAAAACTTTGCACTAAACTACCAAAAGCTGAAAGAAAGATATTTGACGCACACTAATTGTAAAGCCGTTTTCTTCGTTTTGTAAAAGAAGCATTTTGCTGTGATTTAAATCACAAAAAGTTTGAATGAACTCGAAACGTTTACACTCTTATTAGACAAACCGAACGGGGCGACACTCCAAGTCTCCAGTACATCGCTTAGGCGAGTGACTCTTGAATAAATAAAACTGAAACAACATCAAACGCTTTATCGAAGTCTTACCTCTCGATAAGTCGGTCCACACATCTTCTATCGGTACGGAGCAACCTACTTGCAGGTTATTCTTGCTAACGGAATAGCAGTTGACTCCGCCAAGAGAGATTAAAGCCAACAAAACGGTCACGCCGAGAAACTTCATACTCGATGACGACTCTGTGAACGCCTGAACAGACTGACACAGACTTCAAATTCCCTTAACTAAGACTAATTATGTTATGATTAATGTGACGTTTATTAGAGGTTTCTTATTTAAAACGCGAAACATGTTTAGGGAGTTAACTAACACGTTCCGCCAGACGTGATGACATCATCGATAACTTTAAGTCCATCAAGTAGAACATTGCTTGTTTGGCAGTGAACAAAATAAAATTATGACTATTTTCGTATTGACACGTAGTAGTAATTTCAATTGTGTTACTATATGATTTCTGAAAGTCTGTGCGGTTCAAAAAAACGCTTACTAATCAGAACCCGATCGTCCGTTTTCGCACCATTATATGTTGTATCCCTTCATTTCACCAGCCACCGCGGAAATAACAGGAGCACCCAACAACTGTTTTCTGTAAAATATCTGTTCGGAGAAACTAAAAATGCCTAGAATTTTCTATAGTTTGAGGAAGGCTAAAAAATTTCTAAAGGAACGTTCCATTCCTGTACAATTTTCCTAGCTTATCTAAAATAAATACGATTTTCTGAGGTTTAATTTTTCGCATTTCACTTCCCAGGTTGGTTTTTGTCGAAAAAGGAAACTTAAACTTTTTTCGGATTTAAAAATGCGATGGAGAGAGGAATAACAAAAAAATCCTAACTTCGTAAAACTTTAAATTGCATCTAAAATTTTCGGGAAAATAATACTGACTGCCCATATAACTTGGAAAAGACTCAAGTGGCCCTAGGATGACCGAACAGATAAAAAATTTATAGCGCCGCTCAGAATGCATTTCTAGAGATCTAAACGTACTCTGGGTGGACTAAAAAGTGTTTTCAATGCATTAAGGAGAAAACCGTCGTTGGGTGCCCCTGAAATAACAATTTCAACGGCAGGAAATATTGCTTCATATACAGTTGCACATAATGTTTCGGTGTCTGTATTGATTCAATGCATTGCTGAATTACTCTTTGAAGAAAAAAGTATTCGATTGACAAGATTGCACTCAAGCTGACACGTTGAAAAACCTTGGCAAGAAGAAATGATAAAATTTAGTGTCCCATTTTCTCAACCTAATCACCCACTGGATTCTACCGCCGTTTGAAAATCTCGGCCGAAAATTCATTTTGAATCCCTCGCAAAAATATACGTGTTCGTCAATCTTTGGTGAAAATTAAATATGCCCCATTGCACATAGTTGATTACAAATATTAGCTATTTATTCATATCTCCAGAGTCAGTGAGTACTTAATTGAAGATGCTTCACCGAGGATATGGGGGTTCCACTATAAAAGAAAGAAAAACCCTCAATAGAAGGTCGCTTATCAGTATATGTTGTCGTTGTGAAGGGACTGACGTGTTTGCTACATTGGATTGGAATTAGATCATTTTTTTTCCCTCAGTTGAAGCTAAAGTAACCCAGATTAAAAGAAAACACCACAGAAAATGTGATAAACAAAACGAACTGAAAAACAGTCAGGGTGATTTCTAACATCATTAAGGTGAAACAGCGTTAAGGAGCAAAGGCTCACAGATCATTTGTTTTATTCTTAGCCGTCGTGTCATAAGTACCATGAGACGTTTAATCGCCATCGAATCCTCAACTCTTTTATTGAAAAGCAAAAAGTTAAAGTTAAATAAAACATAAATCCCTTAGAAATTATTTAATTATCTTCCCAAAATGGTCACTAAATGATCTAAACTGTTTATGCTTAAATTTATGGTTGAGAACTCCAGCTTCAAAGTTGTGATCTTGAAACTTCAGCTCTTGAAGATTTTGAAGCCGGTGAAACTGTCCTCTTTTGCGCAAGAGGTTTTGTCGTTTCTGCTACAGCTACGCGGATAAAGGAATTTGCCACTTTTGGTCAGCCATGCTTTGCTGGAGCTGTGTAAGTACTTGAGTCCCACCACATCGCCATTGTGGATGGGAGTAGAATCCTCTGCCTCTTTGGAGAATATTTGAAAAGTGGCGTCGTCGTATCTCAGCCAGTTGTTTCCTTTCATGTCGCCTTTAATGCTAGAGAAAAAAGTGGCAAAAGGAGGTCAAAAAGCAATAATTGACTAAATATCTAGCAGTCAAGTTTGGTTTTGGCCAAGTAAAACCACTTTTGCCTATGAGTTCCTAATACTGACCAAGAGAGAAACTGTGACAACTGACTCAGAGCAAAATTGTACAGGCCGAAAGTCAACTATAGACATTAGTTTCATCTTCTCGTCCGATGGTGCTTGAGTTAAATTTCCAAGAAGAGCTGATGCAGTGTTTAAATTTAAAGCTGAATACTTACGAAGCCAAATGGCACTGCGTGGTTGAAGATTTGCCACAAGTCAGCTTGTCATGAGGACCGTACTTTCTAACGGTCAGCGACACTTTTTCCCCGCTTTTGATGGGTTTTCCCAGCGTTTCTCCTCTGGCTGTTATTTTGAACTCCGCATTCTCGGGTGAGCACGACGACGAAACCTTAGACGGGCAATGCGTCCATTGGCAGCCAGATTTATTGCAGCTTAGTGAAAGTTTCGAATAATTGCTATGAGCTGATTTCAAAATAATCAAGTCACCACTGTTGATGGTTTTTCTGCGGGCTTAAAGCAAAATTCACAAAATGTCAATCGTTGTAAAAACGGTTTCGAATCTTTCAAAGATTCGAAAATGTTTTGGGAGAACGCATTGAGTACAGCAAATCATAGTCTTCAAAAATGAATTAAAAACAATTTACACTCTGCTACTTACCATTGTTGTTCGAAGCCGATTTAGCAGCCACTGAACAGCTTACACAGGCCGCTAAGAAAAGTCCCACGAAAATTGCCAAGCTTAAAAACTTCATTCTTAGGCTTAATTTACTGATGTGGTTAAAAGTTCCAAATAATAATTTCAGTAAAGATGATGTGGGGCTAAGAATAAGCTGTCTTTGTGTGTAAAGTGTGTTGCAAAACATGTTATAAAAAATTCGCGAACGTGTTAGGTGCGCGGAAGTTAATGACACCCTAGAGGGGTGCTTTGTAGTCAAAACATTTATTGAAATAAGAAAACCGCAAGTCTAAACGGAAGCGGAGAGAGCTTATGGGTGCGATGGAGTACTAAAGGATCGGTAGAATCAAATATCTCTCGCTATACAAAACTAAAAATAATTAAAAGGTTCAGAAAAGTTTTGCAGCTCTTTTCCTGCTTCCCAAAGCATGATACCGATGAATTTTTCCTATCACTTCAGGCAATTTTCTTGAAAGACTCTTAAAAAACAAAGCCAAATAACCATACTTAAATTAAGCTCGAAAACACTAAAAATATAATCTCAAAAACATATATCTTCGTTCATATTTTATCTCGCCGTAGCGCGATTAACGGCACACTATTGACCGGACACGAGAAGGGTATTTCATTGTTATGGGTATATTGATCGACACCGAAACGCTGTTCATTGTTCATTATTTTTCATTGACATTCAATACAGGTAATTACACAATTTAAAATTTCGCTGAAAATTTCTTAAACTTCTGCATTTATTTCACTTCAAGTCGACAAAAATTAGGTTCCCTCCACCAAAGCTTTTTACACTCAGGTATGTTTTTTCCTTTTCAATAAAAATGATGAGATGAAAGTAAAAACTTGAAGATGCGTCGATTGCCACTTAACAATAACAGTCAATGATGCATTTCAGATCACTTAATTTTGTTTTTTATTTCTCTTGCAATTATTTGTATGCAGATATATAAATTGACAGTTGGTTATAACCGCCATGAAATCGTCCTGTAAATATTATAGTATTTTTGTTAGTAAATATTAAGTATACTGCATCGTGAAAATCCCCGGCCCACTGCGGCCTACCCCTCGATTGGAGCCTATTTGCAGGCGGAATAGTGAAGTGTAGTCCACTTTTTTTGGTCCAGTTGATGAAGCAGGCACGTTTCATCCTTGAAGTTTTCTAACCATTGTTACAGTACAAGTGGGTGATTTTTCTCGCAGTACTGACAGACGAGGGAAATGACCTAACGTTAAGTTTCTCCAGCTTTCTTGCTCGCGCTACCCTGGTCCCAGAGGTTTTTCTTAATGATTCGTTCTCGCCGCCTCGCGCCTCGCTCTCTCTTTTTCGCGAAGAACAATTTCAAGAAAAACCTCTGGAACCAGGCTACGCTCGCGCCATTTACAGAGAAAATTTAGTTTAGCCTGCGTGGTCGGAGGTAAATAACCATATTTAAATAAGTTCGAACTTGTATTTTCGTTTACATTTTACTGATCCCGCTCAGTATGTGTATGAAACTTTTGTTTTTTTTAATAATTATTTATATACAGACTCAATATATATATTGACAGAAATTTAGTTCACTTCAAATAAAATCCTTCTGTAAATGTAATATTTTTGTTAGTAAACATATACAGTAATGTATACTGCATCGTATATATCCCCACTGAGGCCCACCTCGATTAGAGCCTAGTTGTGGGCTACAGAGCCGGGAAGTGTAACGCTTCCGGAGATAAGTCTTTGGCACCCAGGGTACCGTATTTATTTATTAAACGCCTCATGGGAAACGCTAAATATTTAATAAATGCCTTGGCGTCTAATCGAATAAATACAATGTTCCCGAATTTGTTGGACTCTTTTCGGCCTATATCGGCTTCGCTCGCCAACTTGAATGGCAAGCAACGTACCGAGCATGATCCGCATGACTCCCCTGACATGCTCGTTTCTAGTCACATTTTGGCATGACAGTCTCATCATGACTGAAGATTGACTCGATTACAGGAGGGAACAAGACGCATACTTACTGACTGATTATCAGCTGGCAATGTAACCATTTTCGGATAACCAGCCGAATTTCCAATTTTTAATATTGGACATTAAATATTCCTCATAAGAAATTAAAAAACATCACGCTGGTTGAGTGAAAAAAAAAAAGTAAATAAAAAAAGGTCTGAAGCTGTTCAACATGAAAAGAACACTTTTTAAGAAAAATGCAAATATGAGCTACGTAGTTCATATTGTAAAAATGAATAACTTCAATCTCCAGCCCCCACCCCTCTGGCCCGCGTACAGACGCCCTTCTCTCCTCTCTCCTCCATTTTTTTTTTTGTTTTGAGGGGAGGGTGATTCTGTAAACAGACTACCCTCCTCCCACTCCCAGCAAAACTATTGCCTGGCAACCATGCTAGAGCAACAGTTCATTGACGTCACGCAAAAGCTTTCAAAATGGCGGACGAACTGGGGTGACATACAAACAGTTTGGAAGAAAGAAGAATACGGTGGACTTCAATCGTATTCCCTTGTTAATATGAGGAATTTAAGGTAAGGATATTTTTTGGTGTAAGCAAGCCGAATGACTGTAGTTAATTGCTTAATCGAAGCCTACGTTCGAGTGCAAGTCGAACAATAACTCGCACTGCTAATCAGCTGGATTCGATCGAATCGTTGTTTGAGATAGATTTTAAACCGCAATTAAACTGTCGTATCCCTCACTTGTTAAGGAGGTGGAAGATGATGGCCTATAATTTGATGGAAAATTAAGAAGAAATGATCTAGAAATCTTTATACTCTGATTTGAATTTAGTATTCGAATACTGTAACGTAAAATGGAAGTTCTTCCGATCCGGCGCGACTGGGAAATCAGCCGACATTTCACGACGCCACCAACGTAACGTTGGCTGTTTTCTCAGGCTTGCCTCATGATAAAAATAACAAAAATGCTCGGTATTTTCTTATGTGAACCTCATGGTAAGTGTGGACTTCACGATTAAAATTTGAAGCATTTCGTTTAACCCTTAATGAATGGAAAATGAACTAAAGTTTACCTCTTGACTCTAGAAATTAAGCTTATTGTTTTGGTATACTCAGCCGTTGCATACTGTAACCTTAAATTAAGTTTGTATTATTGTCTATTTAATCAATAAATCAAAATCTACTTTTAGTAGAGAAATGCACTACATTTCCATTATAATTATTTGCCTCTTTGGATAGTTTATCAACAAATGCGAGGTCAAAAAGGAGAGCTCGATCTGTTAGCTACATGCATGAGAAATCTGATCTTTGAATCTGCCCAAGATTCACGTGTTCAAAGATTTAGTAATGTCCAAAAGATTGAGAGCACCTTTTTTCTGGAGCCTTTCAATAATGAACATTGTACACATCCTCATCAAATCATATATAAAATTATTTACTGCATTTGCCCGTTCTAAACTTTGCAATTTGTTCTTGAAACTAAGAAAAAAAATTAAAGATATGATTCTGTGTCTTCATGTTAATTACATTGTATTCTGTATGAAAGGATCTTGATTGTAGCTTTGTCTCCCGATAGTAACTTTGTTGTGGATCACAATGTTTCATCTATGTATTGCTGGTCCTCATCAGGGAAATAATTATGTGAATTCACAAGTTATCAGATCTATTCATAAATGTTATATATTTAATACAGATCGACGTGCCAAGACTCACGACTTTGTTGTGAGTCTCACAATTTCACAACCTATCTCATGCTCTCATGTGTTGGCAACTGATTTCTCACGCTTTCTCGAAAAGTCAAACTCCAAAATTATATTTTGGAGCTGCAGGGTTGGTTTTCAAGCTAGATATCGATAGATAGCCAGCTCAATCCAAAAGTAGCCTGCAGAACAGGCGCCTTTTGAGCCAAGCAAGGTGAATGGAGCATTTTGCACAAAACACAAGACG